AGGAGGAGGAGGGAGGAGGATGAGGAGGGATGGGGAGGAGGAGGAGGAGGAGGAAGAGGATGAGGAGAGGAAGGAGGAGGAGGAGGAGGAGGAGGAGCAGGAGGAGGAGGAGGAGGAGGAGGAGGAGGAGGAGAGGAGGCGAGATGATGGATGATGATGATGATGATGATGATGCTGATGATGATGATGATGATGATGATGATGATGATGATGATGATGATGATGAGGATGATGATGATGATGATGATGATGATGATGATGATGATGATGTGATGATGATGATGATGTGATGATGATGATGATGATGATGATGATGATGATGATGATGATGATGATGATGATGATGATGATGAGGATGATGATGATGCGAGGAGGAGGAGGAGGAGGAGGAGGAGGGGAGGAGGAGGAGAGGAGGGAGGAGGAGGAGGAGGAGGAGGAGGAGGAGAGGAGGAGGAGGAGGAAGAGGAGGAGGAGGAGGAGGAGGAGGGAGGAGGAGGCGGAGGCGGAGGCGGAGCAGGAGGAGGGGGAGAGGCCCTCTGGGCCTCGCCACGGGTGCTCTGGAGGCCGCGGGGGCTCCTCGGACCTCCTGGGGGGCACCTGGGGCCAGGGGCACTGCTAGCATTAGGTCGGGCACGTCCCTCTACAGGAGGAATATTGGAGGAATATTCAACAGTAGTCCGAACATTAGCCTGGCGAAGGACCCAACCATATGCAGTTGTGAATGCCGCAATTGTGAATACCATCTTCGCCCGCGCTCCCTATGTTGCCACGGCTTCCCGCCGGAGCCCGACATGCTCAGGAACACGTTCGTGGCCTTTTTCGCGGGCGCCGACGACGACAAGGACGGCGCCCCTCTGGCCGAGAAGCAAAAGCAAGACAGGGCTTTGAGAGCCATGAGGGAACAGGTGGCGTTGCACGTCGACAAGGCGGAGTACGACGCCTAGGTGCGGTTGTTGAAACAGCACAAGTATGAGGCCACGATCCTCGTGAGGGGTGTGCCGCAATGGCCCGGGGCCGCCATGCGAACCCTGCCACTGGCGCCTTCGGTGGAGCTCCTGTGGGGTCGCGATCCTCGTGAGGGGGGTGCCGAAATGGCCCCAGGCCGCCGTGCGAACCTTGCCACTGGCGCATTCGGTGGAGCTCCCGACGGGGCCACGATCCTTGTGAGGGGTGTGCCGAAATGGCCCCAGGCCGCCGCGCGAACCCTGCCACTGTGGCCTTCGGTGGAGCTCCCTGTGGGGCCACGATCCTCGTGAGGGGTGTGCCGAAATTTCCCGAAGCCGCCATGCGAACCCTGCCGCTGGCGCCTTCGGTGGAGCTCCTTATGGGGACGGCCACGATCCCTGTGAGGGGTGTGCCGAAATCGCCCGAGGCCGCCGTGCGAACCCTGCCGCTGGCGCCTTCGGTGGAGCTCCCTATGGGGCCACGATCCTCGCGAAGGGTGTGCCGGAACGGCCCGAGGCCGCCATGCGAACCCTGCCACCGGGGGCCTTCGGTGGAGCTCCCTATGGGGCCACGGTCCTCGTGCGGGGTGTGCCGAAATGGCCCGGGGCCGCCATGCGATCCCTGCCACTGGCGCCTTCGGTGGAGCTCCCTATGTGGCCACGATCCTCCTGAAGGGTGTGCCGAAATGGCCCGGGGCCGCCGCGCGAACCTTGCCATTAGCGCCTTCGGTGGAGCTCCCTATGGGGCCACGATCCTCGTGAGGGGTTTGCCGAAATGGCCCGAAGCCGCCGTGCGAACCCTGCCACTGGCGCCTTCGGTGGAGCTCCCTATGGGGACGGCCACGCGTCTCCTCCTCCTCCTCCTCCTCCTCCTCCTCCTCCTCCTCCTCCTCCTCCTCCTCCTCTTCCTCCTCTTCCTCCTCTTCCTCCTCTTCCTCCTCTTCCTCCTCTTCCTCCTCCTCCTCCTCCTCCTCCTCCTCCTCCTCTCCGTAGCCATTGTGGCTCAAGCGTTCGCACGGCGCCGTCGTCTCGTCCCCCGTCGCCTCGCGTCGGGGCTGCCGCGGGATGGCTGTGCCTAGAGGGGCTCGCGCGCCGCCGTCCGTCGCCTCTGCCTTTGTGGAGGCCGCCGTGCGTGGCGCTGTCCTCGCAGGTGCTCCTCGCGGCACCGTGGCGGCGGTCGCTCGGTCCGCAGTCTCTGCCGCGCTGTTCCAGCAGGCCGAGGCTCCCGAGGTGCCGATGCGCGGTGCTGCTGCTGGTGCTCCTCCTGATCATCTCCCCGTTCCTCGCCCGCGGGTCCCCTCGGAAACCAAGCGGGAGCGGCGTCGGCGGCGCCGCAATGCGCGCGCTGGGCGCAATGTGTTGGAACGGGGAGAAACTGCTGCTGCCGCGGAGGCGGAGCAGGCGGATGCTGAGCCCATGGCGCTCGACCTGCCTGCGCCTGCTGCCGCTGAGGCCGCTGACATCGATGACGACTCCTGGGCTGACGCCCTGCCCCTGTGGGGCCTGCCGCTGCCGCCGCTGGCGGTGCTGCAGGACGGCGCGGGCAGCGGAGCGGCAAGGAGGACGACGTGGCCCAGGCTGGTGCGCCTGGCAAGGCGGCAGCGCCCCCCGCGGCGCCTGCGGCCTCGCTGGCGCCGCCGCCTTCGGAGGCGGAGGAGCGTGCGGCCCTTGCCGCCGCGTGCCTCCTGCAGCCTGGCGCCGACCCGTCCGACGTCGACAGGCTCTCGACCGCAGTGCCCCGCAAGTTGGTCCACGGCCCCGGGGCCGCGACCGGTGCTGGAGCGCCGCGTGGGGCTCCCTCATCCTCGTGAAGGTGCTCCTGAGAGGCTGGCCTGCCTGGGCCCCGCAGTCACCGATGGCTGGGCCGCTGCTTGCGTGCCCCAAGTGCGCTGTGGGTGGTCCCAGGTGGGCCCTTCCCCGCCGGCTGGCACCACGTGTGGGCCTCTCAGTGAAGCTCGGTTGGTGTGCAGGCAGGCGGGGCCCTCCGTGCTCCTAGTCGGCGGCACGGGCTCCGTGTTATTCGCCCAGCCTCGGGCGTTGGCCTGAGGAGTGTGCCTTGCTCGAACGGACCACCAGCTCGAGGCTCGCCCTCTTGCTGGTGGCGTGCGGTCCCCGCGCCTCCTCCTCCTCCTCCTCCTCCTCCTCCTCCTCCTCCTCCTCCTCCTCCTCTCCTCCTCCTCCTCCTCCTCCTCCTCCTCCTCCTCCTCCTCCTCCTCCTCCTCCTCCTCCTCCTCCCTCCTCCTCCTCCTCCTCCTCCTCCTCCTCCTCCTCCTCCTCCTCCTCCCCCCCTCCTCCTCCCCCTCCTCCTCTCCTCCTCCTCCTCCTCCTCCTCCTCCACAATTACTCAATCTCAATACTACTCTCCCTCTTCCCCTGATGGCGTGCTGGGAGTGGCCCCCCCCCCCGCGTATTGTTTTTTTACACACAGGATTCCCGGGAGTTGGGTTTTCGCCTGCGTTTTTTTTCAAAATGCTGCTCTCGCTGAGGCGCCGGCCTCATTTCTGCTCCCGAATCGTTCCGAATCGTGCTCCCGCTGCAGCGTGGGCCTCATTTTCGGATCGGTGTTTTGCTTCCGTCGTTCAGGATGGCGTTCTCGCCCCAGCGCGGGCCTCTTTCTCGCGCGCCCATCCGCCCGCCACCACCGCGCCGCACCACGCCCCGCCCCGCCGCACGCACACCCACCGCCACTTCCACCCACCAACGCACGCACGCACGCACGCGCACCACCACCGCGCACTGCCACCACCACCGCACTACCCACCCACCACCACCACGCTACACCGCGTCACACCACATCACACGCGCGCACACACAGACACACACACGCACGCACGCACACACACACGCACACACACGCACACGCACACACACACACAGACACACACACACACACACACCACCACCGCCACCACCACCACCACCGCCATCACGCACGTACGCACCTGGCCCACCACCAAACCACCAAGACGCCACACCACGTCACACCACAGCACACGCGCACACACGCACACACACATACACACCACCACCACAACAACCACAACCACGCACACACGCACGCACGCACGCGCACCACCACCCACTACGCACACGCGCGCGGAGCCACAGGTCCGCTACGACACGCGTCCGCGGATCGAGAAAATCAGCGCCATGGTAAGGGATGGGAGGGAGGGGTAGGATGTCAGATGTTGACGCGAGCGCACCTAACTTGTCCTCCACCCCCTCTCCCTCTTCCTCCTCCTCCTCCTCCTCCTCCTCCTCCTCACTCTCAGATGGGATCGCCTCTCAGATGGGGTCAGAGTAGCTGGGGTCGGAGGATCGCGCCGCAATGCCGATGCATCGGCGATGCGGCTCGATGTGGAACCCAGTTTTTCCCCCGCCGACGTCTCGCATGCGTCGCCGACGTCGCCGATGCATCGCCGGTGCATCGCTGATACATCGCCGATGCATTGGCGATGCGGCGCGATCCTTCGACCTCAACTACTCCGACCCCATCTAGGAGGCCTCTAGGTACCGGGTCCCCGGAATTCCCGGCCCTTTCCCCAAGGCCGCTTTGCCATCCCCAGCCGTTGGCTGTCCCATGGCTTTGCGAGGGCCCCCAGAGGCCGCAAGCGGCAAAAGCCCTCCTCCAACGGGGCTCCGCCGCTGTCGTCTTCCTTATTTCCTCCCTCCCCCTCCTCCCTCCATCCTGTTTCCCCTCCCCTACCTCTCCTTCCTCCCTCCTGCTTCCTCCTTCCCATCCCTCCGCCTCCGCCCCCTCCTCCCTCCCCCAAAAATGGCCCATGGGGCACCCGAGTGGGTCCCTACCACCGTCACCAGGCGGGGCCCCCAGGCGTTGGGGTTGTGGTCCTGGCCCCCCTGGCCGCGAACAGCGCCGCCCACCCGCCGCGGCCTCTTGGAGGACCTGGCCCCGCGGCGCTCCGCCTCCCTCCCTCCTTCCCTCCCTCCCTCCCTCCCCCATCCTCATCCCCTCTCTCCTCATCCCCTCTCTCCTCCTCCCTCCCTCCCGCCCCCGTCCTCATCCCCTCTCGCCTCCCCCCCCGAAAGCGCCCCGCAGGTGCTGCCCCTCCTGTGCCACGCCGAGCCGCGAACGCGGTGCGCGGCGCTGGAGGCGCTGGGGCTGTGCGCGGAGCGGGGCGACCCCCGGTCTCTCTCGGTGGCCTGCGGCGAGCTCGACGACTGCGAGGAGCGGGTGTTGCCAGAAGGGGCCCTGGCCCTCCTCCTCCTGCTCCTCCTTCTCTTCCTCTTCCTCCTCCTCCTCCTCCTTTTCCCCTTCCTCCTTCTTCTTCCCTTCCTCCTCCCTCCTTCCTCCTTCTTCCCTTCCTCCTCCCTCCTTCCTCCTTCTTCCCTTCTCCTCCTCCTCCTTCCTTCCTTCCTCCTCTTCCTCCTCCTCCTCTTCCTTCTTCCTCCTCGTCCTCCCCCTTCTTCCTCCTCCTCCTCCTCCTCCTTCTCTTCCTCCTCCTCTCTCCCTCCTCCTCCCCTCGTCCTCCTCCTCTCCTCCTCCTCCTCCTCCTCCTGCCTCCTCCTCCTCCTCCTTCTCCTCCTCCTCCTTCTCCTCCTCCACGTCTCCTCCTCCTCCTCCTCCTCCTGCCTCCTCCTCCTACTCCTCCTCTTCCTTCGCGCAAGCGGAGGTTGCCAGAGGTTGTGTTGGCCCAAGGTGCCCCCAGCTTCTCACGCGCCCTTTGGGAGGCACCGAGGCCCTGCGGGCCCCGTGAGGGGCGCCTCGGAGGCCGCCCGGCCTTCCCCGGAAGCGCCGGGGCCACCTCGGGCCAGGGCTATTCTCCGCCCCCCCCCCGCCGAGAGGAGGCCGTGCGGCGAGCCGCGCTGCGCGCCGTGGGCCGCCTGGCGGAGCTCTGGAGAAGAAGCTGCTCGCATCAGCGCCCGGCAGCGCAGACTCCCAATCTGATCAGGAAACTGTCATCTTCATGTCAGTCAGGAGGGGAAAAAACACACAGACACAATTGATCGTCGATTCCCCAGAAAATCTGGGAAAATATGGGATTCGGGGGGGAAGACAAAAACCAAGGAAATACGGGAAAATAAGGGGAATCTTTTTATTTGTGTGTATTTATTTGTGTGTCCTGGGGCCCCTTCATTCAGTGCTTTCCCCGGCGCCGTTGGATCACCTCAAGCGTGCGCCTCTTGAGGAAGCCGGCTCGCAGTCCGTAACGTTGCCTCCTGTTCCAAGAAGGCTGGCATAACGTGGAGTGGAGTGGGGCTGAAGTTGGCTGGACTGGAGCAGATTGGACTGGACCAGCCTGGACCGAGTAGACCGGGCGAGACTGGTCTGGACTGGAGTGGACTTGGGCTGTGACGGACTGGGCTGGGCTGGACTAGACTGGACCGAACTGGACTTCACTGGCGTGGACTGGACTGGACTGGTGGACTGGACTGGACTGGATTGGGCTGGGAGGGTGGACTGGGCTGGGCTGGAGTGGGCTGGACTTGGCTGGTTTGGACTAGGCAGGAGTGGACTGGATTTGGCTGGATTGGACAGGTCTACCCTACCCTACTCTATTCTACTCTACTCCACTCTACTCTACTCTACTCTACTCTACTATATTCTACTCTATTCGTATTCTACTCGTACTCTACTATAGTCGTATTCGTACCCTTACTCGTGCTTATTCTTGATCTATTCTACTTTTCGCTACTCTACTCTACTCTGCTCTACTCTACTCTTCTCTACTTTATTATACTCTACTTTATTTACTCTACTCTACTCTGCGCTACTTTGCTCTGCCCTACTTCGTTCCAGTCTACCATCTACCCTGTTGTACTTCACCCTGCCCTTCCCTAACCGACTTTACCCTATTCTACTCCTAATCCCACCTTTACCTATGCTATTCTACTCTACTCCACCCTACTTTAGTCTACTCTTACTCCACTCTGCTCTACTCTACTCCTACTCTACTCTACTCTACTCTACTCTACTCCTGTTCCTGCTCTGTTCTATGTTCGCCAGCGTGTCCCAAACCCTGTGTTCCGAGCAACCTATGCTGTCCAATCTAGATGGAACCAAATATGTGGTGTAACCATTGTTATGCAACATATGTGGTGCAATCAATGTGGTGCAATTGATTTCAACAAACGAGTGGACGCAGCATGCTCTGGCAAACATACCACCCACCCACCCGCAACTTGGTTTACAAAACCCATGCGGTGACGATTGCGATGCATGCTTGGCGTTGGCTGGTGCATCTCTGCGGCCGCGCCAACCCAAGCACGCGCGCGCAGCGGCCAGCTAGACTGGCGCGACCGACGCGGCCGCGGTGGCGCTGACCGCTGGGCACATCCCAGCGGGCACTTCACTGCGAATCGGCGACTTGGGCGGGCGCGGTATCATGGCAACTTCGACAACAGTAGACACGATGATGCTAGTAGCGATGCTGGTGACGATGTTGGCAACGACGACGGCGCGGCCAGTGCAGGCTCCGATGCTGATCACGCCGGCGACGATGACGGAGTCGTCGCGTCGGTTATGAAAATTTTGGAAATAGTTCGACATGCGCGCGCGGCCAACGCTTGGGAGTGGCCCGCCTGGTGTTATTTGGCACGGATCGTGGCCCCCCTGCACGCGCGCAAGAACGTGCGAATGATGTCGGCGTGTGGAGCTGGAGGCCCATTTGGCAAGTTTCCACGGACAAGTTGAAACATAAGATTTTCGTAATAATTCGCAAGAGCGCGAGCGCACGTTTTTGTGAAAACTGATGATGGGAAGCAATGTGACATAGGTTTTTTGGACGCTCGGTTCTAAACTCGTTACGACGAGGAAAGTTTTTCAAGGATTTCGGCATGCGCGTGCGTGCACTTTGTGCATTTGTTTTGGGAGAGGATTCTCGTGGCGGCGCGCGCGCAAGGGCGTTCGAACGATTTCGACATGCGCGCGTGAAACCCGTTTCGTAGCAAGTTCTGAAGTTTTGATATATACATATATATACATATATATATATGTTTACACATATTTATACATCTATATATATATATATAGATATATTAAAAGTAATTCTAGACGTTTCGCGTATCCCCGCCAGCCCATCCAGAAACGATGTCCAGGCGAGTGGAGGTGATCAGGGAAGTGCGACAGCAAAGAGGGGGACGGCCGACCCGTGCAAAGGAGCGAGGAGGAAAACGAGGAGGTGGATGGATGGATGGATGAGGGAGTGGGAAGAAGGAGGATGAATAGGATGAGGAGGAGGCGGAGGAGGAAGAGGTGGAGGAGGAGGAACAGAAGGAGTAGGAGGAGGAAGGAGGAACAGGAGGAGGAGGAGGGCAAGCACAAGGGCCAGAGGTCTCTTGGATGCCTCTCGGAGCCTCTTGGGGTATCTCTTGGGCGATTCTTGGTGGCCTCTTGGGACGTCTTGGGGGTCTCTTGGCGGTCGTGGGGGGCTCTTCGGCGTCTTGGGTGCCACGGGGGAGCCTCTTGGGGCCGCTTGGGATCCTTTTGGGGGCCTCCTGGGGGCCTCTTGGGGGCCTTTTGGGGCCATCTTAGTTAGGGCCATCTTGGGACCTCTTGGGGCCTCCTGGGCGCTTCTCGGGGCCATCTTGGAGGAGATCGATCAAACAAGAGGGGCGGTTTAATTAGCGTCCCCCCCCCAAGAGGCCAAAATGGGGCCAAAACCTTAGTAAAACCAATGATTTTGGCTTCCTCGCCGAGGTCGTTTTGGACGCTCCGGCGACTCGCGGAACCCCCCGTCCAGGTCCAGGGGAGCGGGTAGGGGGAGGGGTCAACCCCTCCCGGAAGGGGAAGAAGGAGGGGTGTAAGAGGAAACGCCCTAAGCCACCGACGCCCAGAGGGCTGGTGGGATTCGCACAAGTGCGCGCGCATTTTGTTTGTTTCTTTTTTGTTGTTGAAAGTCCGTGTTGCGAAGCCATGTGTTTTTGTATTTATTGGAGACTTGATTTTGACGTCCATCCTTACGAACGGAAGGTTTTTGAAGGATTCTGGCATGCGCGCGCGACGACGCGCGCGTGTGTACTTCGTCCTATGATTTTGCAAGGGATTCTTGAAAACTGCTGATTTTTGATAAAGGAGTGCGCGCATTTTTCTTTAGCAGAGGATGGCAGGGGGGGCGGATACCGGCCCCTTGGGATGGTGCGAAGTCATATCTAGGATGGGCGATGGGGCAGCAACATAAAGTACATTGCGATACGAAAAGGGGGGTTGATAATCACGGGGAGGGGAGGGGAGCTTTTAGAAGGGATAATGTATGTGGTCCGACCAATGTTGTGCCGTATACGTTGTGCAATATATGTCGTGCGGTCTATGTCGTGCAATCTATGCGGTGCAATATTTGTTGTGCAATCGATGTGGAGCAGTCTACGCTTTGCAATCTATGTAGCGCAGTCCAAGCTATGTGGTGCAATCTATGTGGTGCGTTTCATGCAGGGCAATCTATGTGGTGCCATCAGTGTGGGGCGATGTATGTTGCGCATCCTATCTGTTGCTATCTGTATGGTGCACTGCCTTTTTGCTTTTGCTTTTAATTTTTCCCAGGCTACATCCAGTAGTAGAAACCTGTTTTTCCGCCGCAATGAACTGTCGCAGTGCCAGTGGAAATAGTCGAAAAACTTGAAATTATCAACTCCAGTGCTCGTGCATTCATCCCATCCGCTCACCCGCAACTTGGTTTGCAAAACCCATGCTGCGGCGATTGCGACGAGTGCTTGGTGGTGGCTGGTGCATCTCTGCGACCGCTCTAGCCCGCGCGTGCTCGCGCGCGCAGCGCCAGTTAGTTTGGTGCGACCGGCGCGGCCGCGGTGGTGCTGACATCTGGGCGCCGTCCAGCGGGCACTTCAGTGCGAGTTGATAACTTGGGTGGGCGAGGTATCATGGCGACGTCGGCAACAATAGTTTCGATGATGATCGTAGCGGTGATGGTGACGATGATGACGGTGACGGTGGCAAGGCCACTGCGGGTGCCGATGCAGATCACGCCGATGACGATGACGGTGTCCTCGCGTCGGTGACCAAGGTTTTGTGAGGAGTTCGACATGCGAGGTCGGCCGGCGCGCGCGAGTGGCCCGCATCGTGTTTTTTGAAACGGATCGTGCCCCCGAACACGCGCGCGAGGGCGTTCGAATGAGTTCGACATGCGGCGCGAAAGGCCCGCTTGGCCGAACTTGAGGAACACTTTGAAAGGTCTATGGTTTCTCAAGAATTGGCAAGAGCGCGCGCTCAGATTTTTGTTCGCGAACTGATGTCGCAAAACGTTGTTCTAAATCTGTTTTTGTGGACAATGATTCCACTGGTGAGTCTCTTGATGAAATTGAGCTGTTTTGAACTCTTGATGAAACCCATGGTTTTTTGACGGATTTCGGCATGCGCGCGCGACGACGCGCGCGCGTGCATTTCGTCCCGTTTCTCCCCATGGATTTTTGCAACAGCACGCGCGCAAGGGCGTTCGAATGATTTCGACATGCGCGCGCGAGGGGCACGTTTGGTAGAATGTGATGCGCATTTTGAACAACATAGTGGTATTTGTATGATTTTGCAAGGGCACGCGCGTGCAGAATGCTTGAAAACTGATGTACCAACGCCATGTATCTTGCGTTATTTTTGTATTTGGGCTTTCGATTTCGACTTCCTCACGGCACCTGAGAATTATAAAAAGCAGAGAGACTATACAACATGCCACATATATGCATACATCATTTTTTTTTCTTTGGCGTGCGCGCGCGACGACGCGCGCGTGTGCAGTTCGGCCTGCTTACTTGCAGGGGGCTTTTGAAAACTGCGTTTTTTTGGTAAACGAGTCTGCGCGCATATTAGTTTTCCGCAAAGGTTGATTGGGGTGGCGATCGCCGGCTGCTTGGTATTGTATGATCTAGGATGGGCGGGTGTACAA